CAGATTGGAGAACAAGACCCTTTGAGTCAGGGCCTGATTTATCAAAATTTTTAGAGATAGATGATACAGGTAAATTTACAAAAGAAGCTCTATTCAGATATAATATACACAAGAAACTATGGCTAATGTTTGAAGATGGGTACATAAAAAACCTTAGAAAATTTACAGAAAAATTGGGAAAGAACACACAATTAGAACCAAAAGAAGGTCAAGTTGTGTTACTAAAGAGACAGACATTCAAAGGAGATTCACCCTTCGAAAGATTGAAATGGAAATTAGCTAGAATTTTAAAAATTTATAGAAGTCCACGAGACAACGTAATAAGAGCAGTAGACATAATTACTGGAACACCAACTAAAAGCCCACAAGATGAGTCCCTCCCTGTAATTTTGACAAATCAGTCAATAAGAAACTTAATACCATTAGAAATGGACGTACCCCAACAAGACAAATCAAAAGGAGAACATCCAACCACCCTTCCAATACTGGTGAACTATATAAACACAAAATCGTTTACAAAATAAAATATATCTTCAAAGTGAAAAAGAGTTCATTCTGGTGCAAAATGCATCATACAAAATTTTGAACATAACAAATTCAATCATAATACCCGTTCGAAGTCACAAAAACAAAGTTCTCAAACAATCATCACGTCATCTCAAAAGATCATCATCACGAATCAAAATAGTTCACAACACTTCGATACAAATGGGAGATACATCGTTCAAACAAAAATGCAAAAAATTCTTTCGTTTTACAAAAAAAAATGAGGCACATCAGTAGATCGGTAACATGAATGGTAAGCTCAAACAAAATATCAAACGAAACCATCAGTTACAGATCTCACAACATCTTTTTCCAAGATCCATCTCAGACCTTGCTTTCCAACAACATAAAAACCAGTTGGGGTTTTAAAAATCACCCAGCCCCTATAAGAACAATTTTTAATAATGACCATCGATGTAGCAGAGGCCTTTTCACCACATTGATCAAAGTCGTATACCCTGTGACACAATATGTCCATCAAAAAGCATTCGTCGGCAAGAAACCGAGGGGACGGAACCAGAAATCTGAAAATATATCAAAACAAAAATACTGTAAAATCAAAAGTTGAAATATTTTTCAAAAAATACAAACCTGAACACATCCCCCTGTTCACCATGCAACTCCTTTGAGACAGAAAAGCTTTCCATCCCATTGCAAAAAACTGATGGACCATTTGAGCCACAGTGAATGTGCTCCTCAAAAGGAGACTTCCCAGGAATAATATTCCCATCTACTCCCCAAGAAGCAGCTTTACCCGCACAAATATGAACAGGATAGTCAGTACATCCCAACCAGGTTAACCCAATTCGAATGCAATTACTATGATCCCTGGCGAATGCCAACAAACCTCTTGAAGAGATATGACCAAAGCCTACCATATCACCATGACACATGCTAAATCGAGATAAATAGAGGATCGGAGATACAACCGACCTCCACCCAACATGTTCAGGATCACTTTTGTTCAAATAACCGATCAAAGATCTTAATCTTAAATATAAAAACTTTTGATGAATTCTGCCCGCCTCCATACGTTCATCAGGACCAACATAATGTTCAGCCCTAACTGGCGTTAAAGGTAATACAGGAACACCATTCCGATCACAAACAAGGCCAACCGGGCACTCCTTTCTCTTTTTTAAATTCTGCCCGCCTCCATACGTTCATCAGGACCAACATAATGTTCAGCCCTAACTGGCGTTAAAGGTAATACAGGAACACCATTCCGATCACAAACAAGGCCAACCGGGCACTCCTTTCTCTTAAAACATGTCCCCCCTCTACGGGGGTATCGTTTTTGCGTTGTCAATTTTCGAAGTCTATTAAGTGAATCTTTTAGGAGTATTCGAAATTTTTTCAGTAGTTTTGTTAATTTAACCGTTATAGCTAGGGAACGAATTAATTGCTTGATGTCGTTAGTACCTCCCCTAACAAAAACCCCGTCAAAAATAAACGATTCATCAAGCTTCAGATCCGAATAGACTCGATTCCGTAGGTTGGTAGATGACATTGATCCATCCCCACAGACCACGGACCAGCCGGACATAGACCACTGTAAAAATATATCGATATGTCAGTAAATATATCAAAAAGTGAGCATTATCAAAATACCTGGTAAATGTCAACGTCTAAATCCTCAACCAGATGTGAAAAATTTGGAACAGCACGTTCAGTCCGTTGATCAGCACAAATACGAGTACGAAAAGTAAATTCCTTTCCGCGCAGATGAAAAGAACTACACAACGACGTTGCAATAATCAAAATCGCCTTCCTCTTGGTATTTTTTCTGGATTCCGTCGAAAAATCTAACTTCGCAGTACTAAAATCGAAATCAGCTACCAGAGTTCCTGGTACCGGCAGCGGAACCTTAACTTGGTTTGACTTCAGTTGCTTGAAAACAGCATCGGTTAATTTCATCGACTTCCCAACATTATTAAAATATGTCGGGGAATTATCAGGCATAAATTTTGAAACTTCGAAGATTGAACTCCAATGACCTAGTAAAATAATATAATTAAAGAAAGATAAATCATTTAACAAGTTTCCAAAAAAAACATATGAAACGGGCGGTCGCCTTCATTCAAATCCAGTCCCAAATTAAATTGAAGAATCTCCTCCTCACCAAGACCAGCGATTGCTCCGGTTTGATCTTTTGAAGCACCAGCCATCTCGTCAATAACGGCAGGAACACAAGGAATTCTCTCCACTTGTTCACTTGGCCCCAAATCCACTAAAAGATGTATCATAATGAGTTAAAAATAAAACTAAAAATTCATAAAAATTAAAAGAGTTAAAATAAATCCACACCTAAATCAGAAGATTCAGAAATAACTTCCAAACACTCGTTTGAAGATCCTTCGGATATCTCAATTGCTTTCTCTGATAGAGGTAGGTCCGCTGGCGTGGGAATGGTCAAATGTCCGCACCAAATCTTCTTTAAGGATTCAAATCCACCGATGTTCAAAGTAATGCCCCCGATCCTTGCTTCACAATGGTCGTCTGATAAAAATATAAAAATTTTTTTTATCAAAAGGTCCTTTACAAAAAACCCTTTACAACTCACCAAAAGTTCGTAGATAATCACCATCAAGAATATTTAAGAAAAAAGTCTGCTCATTCGAAAAGGATCGCAAAAAAGTCTCGCAATCACAAAAGTTGATAATTTTAAATGAATCATTCAAAGCGATCACAAAAGTTGATAATTTTAAATGAATCATTCAACTTAGTCAGAGCTGTGTTGCATGCGAGTTCAGATTGATGTAATATTTGGCGACGAGCACTAAGATCCACATTTAAATCATGCTCCGAACGACTCAATAACGCATGCTCTTCCTCCACTAAAGCTAAACGAGATCTTTTCCTACTAATCAAAACGCGTGCTCCCTCAACAGTCTTCTCGTATAGAAAGTCACTTTTCACGACACTACACAATTCCACTAGGTGTTTCCAAGTCCTCAGATCAGCAGTCTCCAAAGTTTTTACAAGATCCAAAGCCAACAAAGGAAACTTGATAGTCCGTTCCTCTAGTTTCGGTTGCTCCTGACGTTCAGAGATGCACAGCTCACCTAATAACAGATTCACATCTGAAAATGGGTATCAAATCAAATAAATCACAAATCAAAATAAATAATCAAGAGAATACAAAAAAATTAAAAACAATCAATAGAGAAAATAAAAAGATGACAAAAATATGATATGAAAGTGAAATCAAAGAAAAATAGAAACAAAACAAGCTTGAAATTGCATAATTGAGCTCAATCAAGAGAAATTCGAACGAAATGCTTTATTTGATTGATAAAAGAATTACAGGCCAAGAGTTGAAAATACACTCGCAAAAAGAGAGTTGAAATTACACTCGCAAAAACATGAGAGTTGAAATTACACTCAGCAAAAAGATATGAGAAAGAAAGAAGAAGAGACGACAAACCTTTGTCAGGAACATCACCAAGAAGATCCGAAGAAGACGAACCGGCAGCCACATCCATCAGTCCTTCATCAAGCCCAGCCATCGCGGAAAAAACTCAAGAAACTTCAGGGAAGACTNACATCGGCAAAACGTGGTCTTGCATAAAGAAGAAAAAAATGCACCTGATGCATCGCCAACACCACATCAGCATTTCATTTTACCTGCACTTATACATTATAAATATTTAAAATATACCAATAATCATAATAATTTCAGGTTACTGATTTGTGTTGTGTAAAAGGAACTACCTGCGTAATAACTTGATACATTAGATTCCTTAACTTAACTTGATGTAAAAGGCTTTTTGCAATTGCTCAATGCACTTACTTTCTTGCCTCAAACTTTTCAAAAGGAATATACTTTTGTATTTCCAAGTATTCAGGGTGAAGCAAAGTTGTCCCATTTCCAAGTAGAACACTCTTCTACAAGAAACATTAAGTAAACAGGGATAGTCACACACCCAGTCACTCTCCCTGCATGAATCCAAAATCCCAAGCAACTCAGTTTCTGTAAATCACCCATTACCTTACTCTCAACTTGGGCGAAAGACCAAATTTCTGTGAATCACCAATGCACACATTCTCTCAAAATATCTGCTCTTTTACGTAAAAACGTATTCAGTCTAGCATTGGGTGCCACACTGCTTGCGTCACACTTGCTGCAGAATATTTCCGAAGTCAAAAATGGTGAAAAATATTTTGCTTTCCCAAACGCAAAAGGAAGAAGTGTGTGCGTATAGACAAAAGTACCCAAAAGTTAGCTTACTGCAAATGTCCAGGCACTTTTCAGTGGTGTGGAAAACAAGTGTCTTACTGAAAAGCTTGAAGGACATTTTGGGTGATGAAGAGAAGAGGAAAGCATGTTTAGCAAAAGTTAATGCTTGTGAAAAATGCCAAGAAGTCGAGGAGCACTTGAACACCTGGATAAAACATGTCTTTGAAAAGCATGAATTCATAAGTGACTCTGTCATACTGGAGCAGGCAAATAAAATGTGTGAAGATAGGAACATAGAAAGAGATACATTTAATATTTCCTGGTTGACAAAGTACAAGAAACAGAACGGTATTTCAGTGTGGAAGAGAAAGCAATCATCTTCAGAAGTACACATGCAAACTGTGTCAGAAGGGTGCAGAGTTCTTAGTGAAAACATGTCCTCATACGATTTGGAAAATATCTACAATGTTGACAAAAGTTGCCTGCACTACGGATTGTGGGATGAAAATTACAAGCAAGGAAGAAGGTGTTTAAAACGTCTGGAAAATAAAAATTTTTGTTGAAGGAAAGACAGTCTGAAAGAAGGATATACTTGCCCGTAAAAAAAAAAAAGACTCACTATTGTAAGCATTGGGTGCCACACTGCTTGCGTCACACTTGCTGCAGAATATTTCCGAAGTCAAAAATGGTGAAAAATATTTTGCTTTCCCAAACGCAAAAGGAAGAAGTGTGTGCGTATAGACAAAAGTACCCGAAAGTTAGCTTACTGCAAATGTCCAGGCACTTTTCAGTGGTGTGGAAAACAAGTGTCTTACTGAAAAGCTTGAAGGACATTTTGGGTGATGAAGAGAAGAGGAAAGCATGTTTAGCGAAAGTTAATGCTTATGAAAAATGCCAAGAAGTTGAGGAGCACTTGAACACCTTGATAAAACATGTCTTTGAAAAGCATGAATTCATAAGTGACTCTGTCATACTGGAGCAGGCAAATAAAATGTGTGAAGATAGGAACATAGAAAGAAATACATTTAATATTTCCTGGTTGACAAAGTACAAGAAACAGAACGGTATTTCAGTGCGGAAGAGAAAGCAATCATCTTCAGAAGTACACATGCAAACTGTGTCAGAAGGGTGCAGAGTTCTTAGTGAAAACATGTCCTCATATGATTTGGAAAATATCTACAATGTTGACAAAAGTTGCCTGCACTACGGATTGCCCCTACTTTTAATGTTCGTTCCTTCTTCCACAAATTTTGCAGACCTTTTATTTTTAAAAACAACTTCCTTTCTGTCAGACTTTCTTCCTATATGAACGGGCATTTTTTTTTTTTCTGAGTGATAACACTTTTGTACAAATGCTGATGGAGGTGACAAGAGAAAACTAGCAGTTATCAGGCAAGGAGGAGATGTGAAATCCATGAAAAAATTCAAGCACAACCATTACGTAAATTGGATACTTAACAAGAAAGGTTGGACAACACTTGTAGCCTTCAGAACGTGGATGTCCGATTTTAATGAAGCAATGCCAAAGGAGAACAGACATGTACTGCTTTTAATGGACAATGCTCCTTATCATAAAAGGGGTAAAAGCTTAAGCAATGTACAAATCGAGTTCCTGCCACCATATTGCACAGGAATGCTGCAACCCCTCGATGCAGGAATAATAAATATATTCAAGTCAAACTACAAGCAGAATGAAGTTGCTCACATTGTCAAGTGTTTGAATGATGATGATGCAGCAAGTATATCATTCAAGGATGCGCTACGTTTGATTTTCAAATCTTGGAATGAAGTTACGCCTGCTGTTATAAGGAAGTCTTGGGAAGAAACCTGTCTAATCCAAGAATTTAACAAAAAGAAAGCAAGCCCAGTTATGTCTGCAAAATAAGCTAAGACCTGCATTTCTCAGTTACGGATTTTTTTGGAAAATGAGTGTAGAGACTCCTCAATAATGGATAATGTTGATGCCATTAGTATGTAGGTTAACAAATTTGTGGAACAGAAGAAAAAGCAATCATTAATAACTGATTATTTTCAACCACTTGTGAGTATATATTAAAAAACACTTTGAATAGTTATGTTCATACCATCATGTCCTTGTTGACAGGATAACCGTTGACTGGAAGGATGCATTTCACGAATGTTAACATAAATTTCTTAACATTGCATTTGGAACACATTGCATTGGCGTGATTCAACATAAAAACGACATTACATGGTGAGTAAGAGGTGTTGCGAGTGGTTCATTATAATTCATACAACATTCATTTCACTTGCAGGTGTGTTCAAGAGGATTGATATGGGAATGAAGGTGTCTACGGGTAATTGCATCAAGGTTTTGGACCTGATTTTCTGTATGTTTCTTTTTGTTACTGTATTATGTTCTTAAGTATTTCTTTTTGTACTTATTAATAAATCAATTTCAATAAATCATGTCTGTACACATTTTTCTTTGTATTTCTTCTAAATACTTGAATCAAGTAACGTGTACATAGTTTAAAATGTTGATATGTTATACATCATATAATATAATCACTAAATACGTTTCAACATCTAATTGAAATTATTGAAGTAAACATAATATCATGTAATATATATGTTACCTTTAGTAATTTGTACTTTGTTAGTATAAATTTGTTTAAAGAATATTTGCAAAAATTTCTGACTGTAATTTAAAGAAAATCAGCCTTTGAGAACATTGGGTACATTTCTGTATAGGATATTGTCACCGATGTGTCGTCGGATTAGTTTATGTACTGGGTATTTTATGTATGTATTCTGTTATGAACTGTATGTTGTTTGTTGATTTAAGTATTCCTAAAATCATTAATACTATTACACATTACACAACCCCCTCGTCCATTCACCGTTATTATTCATTAATTTGACAGGATTTCATTCATTATTGACCATCGGCAAAAATTTGGAATGTAATTTTGACAACATTGGAGTTTTACAGCTGTACAAATAATAAAAGTGGGTATGTTTCAGCCTGTGATTTCATAACCGATGAGCCGTTGGATTAATTTACACACACTATAAATAATGTACTGCTTATACGGACTTGTTACATTACTAAGGCAAATGCATGCTAACGCGACTGTATGCTGTCACTCAATATTCAACAAAAATGAGAATAATGGGAATTAATACTAATGGATACATGAAGTATGAGACTTGTTTCATTAATGCATTACGGTTTAAATGCAATAAACAGAACTCACTTTTTCATCAGGAACATTCTCTTGCTCCTTCATCTTTGAAATTTGCCTTTTGACGACTTCCTCAGGTTCCTCGATGTGTAGTTCTGTTACGTAAGGCAATTCCTCACACCTTCTGCTTCAAGTTGTAGTAGCTTCTCCCAGGAATCATTCCTGTACTTCTCGATTTCATTTGGTGTCAACTTCACGGAAGTGCATGATGATGATTGCGCTTGAACAGGAGGAAATATGGGAGGATCACCAGCATTATTACACTCCACGGAATTCTTCGGATGCATGGCATTCATTTCCTTCACTTTCATAAAATGTTGTAAAGGAGTCGCCACGTCCTTCGTTGGATTTCTCGATTTATTCACAATGCCGAATACACCACTACTTTTCAGCTTTGTAACTTGCTGATCACTCACACTTTGTAGTTTTTCTTTACTAAACTTTGCCCACAGTGTATCATCACTGACAGACCAAGTCACTTTTCCTTCTCCATTTGGATCAAGGAGACAAATGAGGTCAGGCTGGCATTGCAGTTTTACTATACCAGCCTTCCATCCTGCCTTCTTCAAGTGAATGTACTTTATGTACTCATCAAAATTATTCCACATGCTAGCATCCAACGGGTAAGTAGGACAATAGCGATATGGATAATTCGTCTGAGACATAATTATGTCCACGTTTTACTTTCAGCAGTTTGTATGCGCCTGCAAGTTTATGAATATATACATATATTCAACAAAAGTTTATTAATAATGTTGGAACATATTGGAAACACACACACACATTGTCATTGCAAAAGCTTTCATTAACTAATACAGCACACAGCAGTCATGCTGAAATAAAGGAGCAAATGCGCTGATTGACAAGCGCCAGGAGAACGTGAAGAACTTTGCCCACATGAGAAGTTCCATGGTCAAAGCTCTCCAAGTTCAATGGCACAAAGTCACACACGTATACTACAAATACAAGTACAAATCAACATATGTCTGAAACACGACACACGTTCTGATAATTAAAACACAATCATTGTGCTAATATACATTCCACAAAACTTTCACTTATAACTCCGACACCAATGGCGACAAAGCATATGAGAGAAGCAGCAGCAGCACTGCACTGA